CCCCAAAACCCCAAAACCCCAAAACCCCAAAACCCCAAAACCCCATTATTAAGGAAAATAATTGATATTTATTATTTAAAATGGACTTGACTTGTCCCATTTGTTATGGAGCTTATGATAACAAGGAGCAGATACCCAGGATCCTCCAGTGAGGACATACCTTTTGTCAGAGATGATTGATGGACCTAAGAACATCGAATATGCTGGCGTGCCCGACTTGTAGAAGCTGCTTTTCCCCTGATGTCAACCAACTTATCAAAAACTTCACTATCCTGGAAGCTAAGAATGAAGGAGAAAAGATGTTTGCAGAGGCTGAAGCTAAGTTTGCAGCTGAGGTAAGACTCTAATCTCCTATTTTATTCTTCATCCCTTCATTTCTACCAATTCTGAACTGTCAAAAATCTGATTTTTCTTTAGAAGCCAAAAGCAGCGCCTCTTGCCGACTCTGAAGCACCTATGTCAGATAAGATGGTCCTCGGGAAATTACAAGTATTACAGAAGAAGATTGATGCTTCTTTAGCTGAGACTTCTATGTTCAATGAAGAGCTTGATGACATCCAGGAACAACTGGAGACCACCCATGAGCAAACCTCTAAAGATTTGAAGGATAAGTTGGAACTACTATATGAGATGCTTAAGAATAGACTGGAGTCTTTGGAGCAAAATGTTACTCAGCATTATAAGAAACAGAAAGTTGTAATGAAAGAGGCCCAGAATAACCTTGATAAGAGAAGTTCTGGGCTAAAGAAACTCTCTTCAAAGGTCACTTCCATGCTGTCATCAGGGAGTTATAGCCATAACAATAAGCTTGAGAGGCTAGAGGAAGAATTCTTGGAGCTTAATAGATCCTATAATAGCTCGTTCCATCAGTTTAAACACTGTACTGTGAATCTGAACCCTCAAAATGCTGGGCAGATTTTCGAGTCTCTTGGAAGTGTCAAACACCCTATAGTGCAGAGTACTTTCTCTAATTCTTACCAATATTTCAACTTGAAGAGGAAGAATATCTCAAAGGCATACTTCTTTGGTGATTCAAATAATCAGGAATTAATATTTTACTATGATTTTGGAAGGGATAAATGGAGGAAGAAAGATGTACCCAGAAACCTGGTCCTGCAGTCATACTCCGTAGCTATTGGACTAACAGATGGGTCTATTTTGATAACAGGAGGTTTGAACAGCACCTTCACTAATGTGTCAGGGAATGTGAGCCTCTACAACCCGGAGACTGAAACTTGCAGTGAGAAATCGCCATTGCTGTATAATAGATACACTCATGCTCTTGCTCATTATGGAAATTATGTGTATGCTATTGGTGGAAGAAGTATCAACGGTGTCCTTGAAAGCTGTGAAAGATTTTCTATTAGCCTTAACAAGTGGGAGAAAATAGCCATGCTCAACCAAAGAAGATGAACCATGCCTGCCATTGTTTATGAAGATATGTATATTTATGTATTTGGAGGTTATGAAGGAACTGGGAGGATTGATTCTATTGAACAATACGATATTGCTAATGACATTTGGAATATGATGAAGATCAAGTTCCCACTCAGTGTAGAGGCTGAAACAGCTACACTTATATCAAAGAATGAGGTTCTTATCCTTGGTGGACATGATAATAGTGCTGGTACTAAAGATGCGATGATTGTGAACCTTGAAACCCATACTTTCTTAAAGATTCCCCCAATGGAACATGAGAGATTCCTCCACTCAGCGTTCTCCTTCGAGAACTACGTCTATGTCATAGGAGGAGTTGAGAACTGTGAATGCCAAAGAATGAACGTGAATACCAACAAATGGGAAAGCATCACCTCATACAAAGAGTTCATCGTGAATAACCTACAGACTTTCTCATCAGCTTCGATTTAATGTTGAAATATGTTGATAATATTCATAAATCAATTGGAAATATATAATTTGGGGTTTTGGGGTTTTGGGGTTTTGGGGTTTTGGGGTTTTGGGG